TTTTAAAAATGTTAAATTAATTACATTTTTTGTTAATATATGTAAAATTATTTAAAAAATCAAGTTTATTTAACATTTTCTCTTTAACCTCCTTTCTCTCATTCTGTCCTGTCACAGGTTAGACTATTCGGGCATTGCGTTCCTGATCATGGGCAGTTTTGTACCGTGGCTATATTACTCTTTCTACTGCTCCCCTCAGCCCTGTTTCATATACCTAATAGTGGTGTGTATTCTGGGGGTCGCTGCCATCACAGTCTCACAGTGTGATTTCTTCTCCACGCCACAGTACCGTGGAGTCAGGGCCGGTAAGATGCAATCTTTATTGTTCAGGACATTTTCTTCTGCATGCTTTTGATCAGAATAGACTTTACTGTTCTGTCCTGCTCTAGTACACCATAACCTCTAGGAACAGTGTAACAAGAAGTAGCTCAGTAACAGCCAACCATAAAACAACTTAACTCCTTTTCTCCTAATTTCTACTTGCACTCTATGCATATGAGTGTTAATTTTGGAGGTATAAAAGCATCTAATAACTCAATATAAACAGTTAAATGAATACCTGTCCTGTCTTCTATGTCTCAGGTGTGTTTGTGGGTCTCGGCCTCAGTGGAGTCGTCCCCACGCTGCACTTTATGATCACTGAGGGCTTCCTGAGGGCCACCACCATGGGTCAGATGGGCTGGCTGTTCCTCATGGCTGTCCTGTACATCACCGGAGCCTGCCTGTACGCCGCACGCATCCCCGAGAGATTCTTCCCTGGCAAGTGTGACATCTGGGTGAGTCAATGTCCTGGAATTCACACACGGAGTTCACAATGCAAAACTAGCCTCTCATTACATTTAAAGTCTAATCCGTACCTTGTCATTATTTTGCAGTTCCACTCCCATCAGCTGTTCCATATCCTGGTGGTAGCAGGTGCTTTTGTGCACTTCCACGGTGTGTCCAACCTGCAGGAGTTTCGTTACACAGCTGGCGGAGGCTGTGCGGAGGAGGGTGTTGTGTGAGCCCCGTGTCCTGCGGTGCTTGAAACGCACCACTAGAGGGGGAGAGCGTTCCTCTTTCCTTTGCCGCCAACAACTGTTCCTCCTGCCCATGAGGGGTAAACCTTAGAGGACAGCACTGAACGACAAAGTTACCCACCTTTATTATTTTTCTTATTTTTCTCTTTCTGTTTCTGGTTTGTTCTCTGTTTTGCCCCTTAAATAAAATACATCAAGGGATAAGGTGGACACAGGTTGAGGATGGCAGTTTGTGTTTCCTAAGATCGTATATTGAGAAAGAGGAGCTTTTTGGCTTGGTCTATTGCTGTTTGGTGGTCTGTTGCTGTTTTTTCTTTGTACAAGAAAAAGTTAAACTCAAAAACAAACAACAACAAAAAAAATGCAAATGTGTGAACGTTTCTTGGGGTGGGCAGTTAGCCATTTTAAACTTTTTGATATAAATAAGATTTCTAAAAATTTGGGTTATATAGATTTGTACGAAAATAAAGTTATAAAATGTTTTTAAAAAATACATCATTATGTCATTATATTGTTTAACGGAGGTAAAAGAGAGAACATGTTATTCCAGGGAAAGAGGGCCCATCTGGTTTCGAGTCGGAAGAGGCCAACCAGATGCCTCGGTGTTCTGTTATCCTAAGCACAACTGTTAAGAGCTAAAAACACACCTGTAGGCCAGTGGGACGCCCTGCACACGATGGAGCCGCCAGGATTCAGCACTCACATACTCCGCAGGCCTTCATATCGCTGTCGGTGCTGTTTCCTTCGGCACAGAAGGCCGGTTTTCCATCTTTTGATCATTTCTCTCTTTTTCACTCTGTTCTCGTTTTATTCAACTTGGTGAATGTTGACTCAACCCGGTTTTGAAAAAAGAAGAGAATCGATGAAAGACTTGCTTTTGCAAAGTACATAAAAATCATACTTTTGCAGTGCAAGGATGCATTTGTTGTGTAATGTTCTGTGTTCACCATCTGTATGTGATATAATTTATTAAGAGTTTTCATGGAAACATTACAACAACCTGTAATATTCCACATTTAAACATGAGCAATGTTTGTTTTCTCAGAGATTTTGACATGCATTGATATTTATTTTAATTTTAAAATAAAAACTTTCATGACAGTTGTACTATAGTTCTTTTTTGCACCAAGTTAATGTTTTAACTGTTGCTAGCTTGCTTAATCACATGGCATTTGCAGCTCAGGTGATTGGCTCAAAATGAAACCTGGCAGTAAAACTGAGACACATGGAATGGTTCAACTTACAAGTTGCACAGTCGTGACTCGAGTAGCCTATCCAAACACAAGTGGACAAGCTGTACCTACATCACTTTTACACATCCTAGAAAAATAATGCATGGTATATAACAAATAATTAAATTGCAAAAAGCAGAGTTATTAGTTTTACATTGTTTCACTATCAGCTCTATCATTAATATTAAAGCATTAATGTCACTTGTAATCACATTATTCCTGACTCTACATGAACACTGGCATCACCATTGAAATCAACATGAATTATAACATAACTTTCCAGGTATTATAAACCTTCAAACAAACACACAATAAAAGCAGTGCTTTTTAACCTAGAAATGGCTTACTGTTGTCTTGAAACATTACAACGGCATAGCATGGCATTTTCAAATCAAGAAAATTATATCAGAAATACTGAAATGTCATTTTCTGTTCTTCAGTCCATTTCTGTCTGTAAGGAAGGCACTGACTTTGAATTTTAAACAACTACAAACTTCAAGCTTTTAAACCTACTTAAAACTTCCAGGTTGTGGCTTTCTCGAGACAATTTAAAGTTTGTCTACAAACTTTCTATCTAGCTGGGGGTTTTTTCTAAATCAAGTGGTTTTAGCTGGTTTTTAGTTTATTTTATTATAATTTTTTTGTTAAATGGGCTGGTTTTTGCTAAAGGGCCTGGTTTTAGCTGGGTTAACTGGTTTTAGCTGTTTTGGTTTTAAGCCGTTTTTTTCTGGTTTTTTAGCTGGTTTTTAACTTTTGTTGCTAAATCAGCTGGTTTTCGTTTAATGACCTGGTTTTAGCCGAGTTAACAGTTTTTTAGCTATTTAAAAAAAAATTTATACTGAATCAGCTGGTTTTACGCTCTTTTTTGCTAAATCATTTAGCTGGTTTTTAGCTTTTGTTGCTAAATCAGCTGGTTTTACGCTCTTTTTTGCTAAATCATTTAGCTGGTTTTTAGCTTTTGTTGCTAAATCAGCTGGTTTTAGTTAAATGAGCTGGTTTTAACTAGTTTTTAGCTGGTTTTCGCTTAAATTAGCTGGTTATACTATTTCAAACTGAAAACCTTTAAACTTCAAGCTTTTAAAACTACTTCAAACTTTCTGGATAGGCTTTTTCAAGCCAACCTAATGGCTTAGTTAGTCAATTTACTTAGTCTTGAAATCTACAACTGCATAATACGAGGCTCTTCAATACGGCAGTTTAGCCTCCGCGCCACTAGGCGGCGCAATCGGGTTTCAGCTTCAGTCTGACTCCTTCAGCTTCTTGACAACATGACGCTTGATGACTGTCACAACAACAACACGTGCAGATCCTGCAGATGATTTAGGCTTAAAAGCTGTTAATGTCACTTTGACAGCACATCTTTCAGCTCAACTGCAAACAAAACTCGACTCACTGTCTGATAAAACGAGTGTCACGCGACTCACCTGTAAGTAACTTTCTTTCCGCATAAAGTGAACTTCTGTTGTCTTATATTCACTATTTAACAGTCGTTGTGTTTTGTCTAAATCTTTGTTACAGTTTCTGTATGTTTATGTAAGATATGCCATAGCAGGGCACCTTTGTCAGATTATTTAGATTCATGTAATGATAGACTAAATGTGTTGTTGCATTTAATATGTCGACATGGAGACTTCAAAGCGAACAGACTTGAACTAAAAGCCTCAAAACCTCAATTTCGATGAGGTCTTTAACCTAAAATCATGTTTAAAATGTGTTTGTTACTGAACAGCTAGCAATGACTTTCTTTGAAGGTTTATCACAGAATGTCAGACCTTTAGACTAACAAATAAAGCAGTAGCTGTTGCTTTACCTTTTATAATCTTGGAATGAATATTATGTTATATAAAATATTATTAAGTGAAATGATAAAGAATCGTACTGTTTGTTTCTTTTGAAATTGCAGTCTTACTGTCAGTATTATTCTAACTATCTCTGACCACTTAGATTGTGCTTTTGTTTTTCTTTATTATCAATAATTTTGTGATTCTGGACAGTCTTGCTGCTTTACTAGTGTGGATTAAAGTTTATGTTGAAGCATTTATATATTAAATATTTTTGAAACCCGATATGTAAATGTTTATGCACATTTATTTAATTAAAAATGGCTAGGAAATAAACTGGGGAGAAAAGCAGATTGAAGTAAAAGATTATTAAGGGTACAGCATTACTTAAGGATAATAGACTCTGATGTTTTTACACTGTTTAGGAATTAAATTTATGTAGTTAACTTACATTTATTAACTATTATTTAAATTTAGATATTTTTTTTTTATATTCAATATGTCTGTATTTCTGTCTTGACTCTCCAGAATAAATGATGTGTTGTTGGTTGTAAACTGGTCCGGCTGAAGCAGAGCTCTGGACGTGTGGACAGACATTGACTGTAATGATGGACATCTGCTCAGGGACAGGTAATGTATCTCGTGTGAATGTGTGTTCTAGTGCACTGAACATGTAGGTTACCATCATTTTCTTTTTGAAGGGCCTTCCTTTGAAAAGCAAATAAACCGAGCCTAATGAACGCCCTCCTGTGGTATTTTTTGTGCATTGCTATTTTAGATCATTGTGTGTGATTTTGTTCTGTCCTATTCTACTAAAATAAACCGATAAGTAAAAAAAGTCAGAGGAACCAAAGCAGGCCCTCCTGTGGTGATTTTTGTGAATTACACCACTGCAAATTGAGTCTAATAAACTTTTCAAAAGGAATTTGTTCTGTTCTCTCTGTTTATATACATAAAAAAATGAAATGGCCAAGACCTTTACGTTCAAATGTAAACAATTTCTTAATTGTAATCTTGGCACTATAACTAATAATAGCAGAATGACAGAAACTAAAGTGCAGTTTAGCCTCCGCGCCACTAGGCGGCATAAGCGGGTTTCAGCTTCAGTCTGACTCCTTCGGCTGCTTGACAACATGACGCTTGATGACAGTCACAACAACAACACGTGCAGATCCTGCAGATGACAGCTGTTAATGTCAGTTTAACAACATGTTTTTCAGCTAATCTGCAAATAAAACCGACACACGGTCCGATAAAACGCTGGAATCGAGTGTGACGCGTCTCACCCGTAAGTAACTTTCCGCATAAAGCGAGTTTCTCTTGTTCAGTGACTTGCACGCGCTGTTTAGCAAATGAATCAGTTATAATCTCTGAACGAATCGCCCTGATATTGACATTGTAAAGTGTAGTCACGAGGAATCGCGCTGTTTGTCTCTGTTGATCCTGCAGCAGGTGTTGTGTGAAGATCTGATGATTCGAGTTCTGACTGCCATAAAAAGAGCACAGCCATTAAAATGCTGTTTTATTTTTTCTCTTTTTAAATATGGTGCAAAAACTTAAAAGCATGATGCAATAAATTAAGTTTGATGTTAAAGCAGTTTACAGGCAGTGACTAAACACTGAATCATTTGCTCGCGATGTTTCTATAATCCTGTTCTCATGTTTTGTTGATCAGGGATTCTATCGGATGGAAAGATTGTTTTTAGTATTATTCGGTATTTACATTGCATTTTTTGTGGCCTGCAAGAAAGTAATTTAATTAATAGCATCATCAGAACTAAACCGAAACGAATACTAGATTGAATGAAACTAATTGATACAGCATTACAGAAGTTTAATAGAGTCTGCAGTGTTTTATAAATATGCAACATTAACATATTTCTCTATTATTTTTATTACCTGTTTTTAGACTTGACATGCAGTGTGTCTAATAATGTATTTCTCTCTTGACTCCAGAATAAATTATGTGATGTTGGTTGTAAACTGGTCCGGCTGAAGCAGAGCTCTGGACGTGTGGACAGACATTGACTGTAATGATGGACATCTGCTCAGGGACAGGTAATGTATCTCGTGTGAATGTGTGTTCTAGTGCACTGAACATGTAGGTTACCATCATTTTCTTTTTGAAGGGCCTTCCTTTGAAAAGCAAATGATGGTAACCTAAGTAGGTGGGGAAGGGACGGGGGATGAGAATTTTTATGCAGCTTTATTTATTTTTTTCAGTCTGTGCAAAAGTATAACCGCTGCGGGTCACGGTGCTGGAAGCTCCAGGGGGAGACCGTACTGATATCCCCCTTCTTCGGGCGCGCCTTCACACACACTCCAGCATTCACTCATATCGCAGAGACCTGGCTGGGATCAAACCAGCAACCTCTGAACCCGTGAGGCAGTGCTCTTACCTGTGAGCCACAGGTCTCTTGTTGGAGTACATGAGTACAAGAAGTTTACCTGTGATTTCCCAGTACAGAAGTTAAAGTAACGTGTGTATGTGGTGGAGAGATTTGAACCCATGTCTCCATCACAAACTCATACTCAGAAGACGTGTGTTTATCCACTAAGCCATCATGGATTTCACGTTGTTTTCTGACGTTTGAGTGACTTTGTTGGCTGTGACCAGTTTAAAGTAAGCAATAATGGGATTCAAACCAGGACTTTTATATGTGAGAGTGAAACCTTTTACCACTGAGCCACAGAGATTGTAGGTTTGTACTTGTTTTTATTTTTAGGCTTGTTTAGATTTTAAGTTTAAGTTGAGTAAAAGATGTTACTGCTTCTGTGGGATTTGAACACATCTTTGTTGTAGTTTCATGATTCAAAGTCACATGTTTAGCCAACGCACCACTAGGCTTTTATATTGTTTGAACCTCATTTTAGGTTAGACACAAGTAAGTTTAAAACTCTCTATATTTGATTCAGTACTTTCACACCCAAAGGTAAACAATCCTCTGTACCACAAAGATTGTGTTTAAGGCACTGTCGTTTTTTTGGTCTTTTACACTAGCATTTACTACTATCAGTTTAATTATTTGTCATTTAAACCTCAACACAGTTTCTTTTTCTAAAATTAAGATATAGATACTACTATCAGTTAAAATTTTTTATTTATTTAAATCTCAAAACTTATTTTCTATAATTAAAATGTAGTATTATAATACTACTTATTATCTGACTAAACACAATTATGTGTTTACTTTATTCTTTATGAATTATTTTTTAGTTAAAATAAAGTCTAATATCTGGTATGCAGCCAATCAGAATTACTATCACATTCTGTACGTTATTTCATTGTTTTTACTCCTGTTAAGAGAGAGGACTAAAAAATGACACCCTCCTGTGATGTTTCTTGTGAATTACACCACTACAAATCGAGTCTAATAAATGCACTATATACCTCTGCAAGAGGGTGAAAAAACACATTTCCGTATGAACAACAAAGCTATTTGCACTATGCTCTGTCCCCTCTTCTGTTAAGAATAACACATTTATTAACAAGAAAGTTAGAAGGCCTAAAATGGAGAAGATTTGTTTTTTTAACTGCACCACTGCAAATCGAGTCTGACGTCTTTAAACAGCCCTTGTGTGGTGGTATTTGTGAATTACAGCGCTGCAAATTTATTTATTTATATGTACTTTATTGACATGCTTGTTTACATACAATATTGTCATTAGACACAAAACAAGTAATGATGTATTAATCATTAGGGTTAGGTCAATCATGAATCAAGTCTAATTGGCTGCCCCCTCCTGTGGTGATTTTTGTGAATTACACCGCTGCAAATAGAGACTAATGAAATTGAACTGGATTCAACCTATTGTGGGGATTTTTGTGATTTACACACTACTGTGTAAATCTTTTGAATTTAAAGGGTTGCGCCCTCCTGTGGTGAGTATTGTGAATGACAGCGCTGCAAATTGAGACTAATGAACTGGGAGATTCGAGTGTGCTCTCCTGTGGAGAATACAGGTTCAAATCTTATGGGCTTTAAAATAATTAAGAAATGGGAAAAAGGTTGGCTCAGTGGTCTGACTTCATGTGGAGGATCCCGGTATGAATCAAATGCTTTAGTTTCCCTGGTTTTGCCTGGGAAAAAGGAAAACACACTGTCTGGTTTGCTATCCTTGTGGGGACTCGCCATAGGCGTAATGGTTTTTCTACTGTACAGACCGTATTTTCTATTGCCCGACACAACCCTACACCTAAACCTACCCCTTACAGGAAACTTTCTGCATTTTTAGATTTTCAAAAAAATTCATTTTGTATGATTTATAAGCTTTTGTACCCGTGGGGACCACAATTTAGGTCCTCACCGTGACATGAGTCCCCATGAGTCTGTGTGTAGTCAGGTTTAAGTCTCCGCCAGAATAGAAAAACAGGTACACACACACACACACACACACAACAACAACAGGAGACTTGAGTGTGGAAGTGCCAACATCTATATTATTAAAATACATCTGTAAAGTGAGTAAATAAACACAAAGTCCTTATTATATTTCATTACAAACCAACATATTTAGTGTTTATATAATCCGAATATTTCTCTTACATTCTTGTGTCCTCTTGATTTTTTTTTTTCTTTCAACATGGGAGCTTAACTGAGCACCGTCCTTATTTGGACCATTTGATTGGTACAGCTACAACCATAGCTACAACTCAAACCAGAAGAAATGTTGTATGAATTTTTATATTGAAAATGCGAGTCAAAGGAACGAATGTGGTGGATAGACTCTCTGCATGAATGCTGCTTACGTGTTTCCGGTAGAATCTCAGCCAGCGACTTCATGAAGTGTACCAAATTAGTATTTTTCTAAATAAGTATTGTTATAAACATAAACATATATAACATCTAATTCCAGTTATAGCTTTCGTTAAGTTTAAATATTAAAGGTCGAAGACAGTAGTTACATCCAACAATGTTGTGTCCAGTTGTGCTAAAGGGGCTTTTACCCACCTTATTCCAGTAGAACATCTACTTCTGTTCAGCACAACAACCTTAACACAAGCCAAGCATTGAAGAGTAAACACTAGAGACAGATTTCATTTATACCCTTGGCTACTCACACTCTTCACAACAATACAATAGAACGGCACAATATGTTAATTACAATAATATTTAGTATAGAAATTGTGGATGGATAAATTTGCATTTATTTGTACAAATGTAGACAATGTAAATATAAATAACGTTGATACAACGGTGTTATCTGCAGTGTCATATTGTGAACTTAAATATAAACTTGAATACAGTGTTACCTGTAAGTACTGCGGCAATGTAAACGTAAATATAAATGACTCTGATACCTGCACTGTGGTAATGCAAACATGTAAATATAACATGTATATATAAGTAACGTTGATAAAGTGTACATTGGTGTGTATATACAAAAACCTCTTATGTTCGCTATATGGACAAACAAGATGGTCAAGGTTGTAACCAACAAGTGGCAGATGTGGTGGCGATGGGGCATCTTGATGGTGAATAATGTTGCAGGTTGTTTCTGCTGGTATGACAACACACTCCCAGCCTAAACCTTTCCAAAGGCGGAATCCACCAATGAATCCTCACTGAACATCCTGATTGTGGTGACCAAAGGGGATGTAGTGCTGACAAAGTCCTAATACAGCTCGGCCACTGTGAGGACTGAGAGGCAACTCACTGGTAACACCGCTGTAATGTGTACTCCTGAAATAAAAACAAAAAATATATATTTTTAATCTGTTGTCTGACCTTCGAAATTTTACATTATATAAATTCTTACATTATGTTCATCATTATAGTCATGCAATGTATTTAGAAAAAACTAGTGCTCATAATGCTCTCAAACGCCTCTTAAAATCAATTTCAGGCAAATACTGTTCTATAATTAAAAAAAAAAAAGAGTAAATTTTAGACACTGGTAGTGGGACAGTCCACATACGGTGTTATATCTAGGCCTGATCTCATACTGTGGGTATTCTTTATAAATTATGAGCTAAGCAAAAAATGTTGTTTGTGAGTTTATGTAAAGTACTGTTTTGATGAATTTTAAAATTATAGTAAATTCAGCAGTCAAATTTTTTTTTTCGAATAATGACTATTGTCCACAGAAATGCTGTATTACTCACCGTTCATCCAGAAATCCTATGCTATGTATCACTGGGATTTAGATAGATTCGCTAGTTGAATATAGCATGAAAAACTCACCCTCAAAGTGTCGATGTAAACTTCTAGCATGGCCTCGCCCCCTTTGCTGCCCTTTCCCGAGGGCGGGGTTTATCTGGGTTTGTGATGTCACGAACCCGGGAAGTAACTTGTAGTCCCTACCAGCCGTTTTTGTAGGCATTAAACTGCCAGAATTTTAAAAGATGATATCTCAGTTTGCATTGAACTTTCAGCTTTGTAAATTTGCAGATTTTGTTTATGCTCAAACAGCAACATTAGACACTAACGTTAAAAAAGTGAAATCGCAATGAACCACCACTTTAAATTTATTAACATGCACGCTTATAGAACAAACTTTCGCCCTGCCATCAGCAGCAGCCTGCATGCACTGGCACCGCCCCCGTTGCCCAGCAACACTGGACCCCCACACAGAACAGCCAATCACAATAAACAGTTTCAGTTATTAACTATTTCACCACAATACTACACTAATTGTAATATAAATAAGCTTATTAAGAGAATGTTATATTTTAAATGGTCATTCATGGATCGTAATTATTGCACCTATTTAGTACCAAAAATCTCCTCAAAATATGAACTAAATAGAACTGGACTAAAACATAGTACAATTATTGAATTGATTAAAAGTTACACTTAAGGTGTTTGGTCACACTTGACTGCCAAGGAGTATGAGAACATATTAATGCTCTTTTTATCACTCCCCAGAATAAAAAACTATTGAGAGCTCCATGAACCACGTGACCGCGTGGCGGCGAGATCAAACCATGTCGCAACCACATTAAGAATTGTATTTTATAGTGAGATATTACAATTTAAAATAACTGTTTTCTATCGAATATATATATATATATATATATATTTTGTATTTCAAAGCACACCACTTTATTTTGAAACCGCATTTGCTGCATCGTTTTTCTACACCAATCTGTACTGTAAATTAAAAAATGAAATCATTATTAAATGAATAATCATACACATCATAATTGTATGATAAAGTGATTAAAGTATGAGTGATGTGAACTTGTGGTAAATGTTCTAAAACATTAAATGTTTCTGCAATAACAAAGAACCAAAGAAGCTTGAAACACAAACAGAACAAGTAATTTACAAGATGTATTAAGTGACACAAAGGCCTTTCCAGTAAACTTCCCAGTCATGTATTTCTAAATACAAATATATATTTATATTTTACATTATGCAACAACATTCAGAAGTACATCAAATAGTAAAAAATAATTTTAAAAACTATACTTACAAAAAAAAATAATTGCAAAATGACTGCAATCAAAGACATACAGTCACATACTGTGTAGTATATTACAAACAATAATTCCCTAAAAAATAAACTTTCCATTTAGCTCTCAATAACAATAAAAAAATGAGACTTTAGTCTTTGCAACTTGTAGCTGCTTACGTTGTGGATTTTTCTTGGGTGCGGCCCATGAAGTTGAGAAGCAGAGTTTCAGATGCCAAAATAAGACTTTATTGTCACAGCAACAAAGCCGAGATAACGGTAACCGCATCTCAAGTCTTTGTCTGTCAGCTCATCTGTTTTATACCTTTTTCTTTCACCAAAGTTGGTAGTTCCGGTTTTTGTTATTGGTTATGCCTATCTGGTTTGCCACAATGACTAAATCTTGAGCACTGACTGTCCCAGGGTCAAGGACATTATAGGCATTAAAAAGGCACTTGTCCTCATGTGCTCAGACATTCTTATCAGTAGAATTTGCTAGATCAGCCACTTTGGCCGACCATTGTTATTACTGGTGGAATGTGCTAGATCAACCATTTTAAGTGGCTAGATCAGCCACTTTGGCCGACCATTGTTATTACTGGTGGAATGTCCTAGATCAACCATTTTAAGTATCAAATTTGGCTACTTGTTCCTGTGGGAACTTCTAGAAATGACCCAGAGTATATTGGGTCATTTAAGGTAACTTGGTACAATCCAATGGAAACCACCAGTATTGCCCAATGGCCAAATATCAAGTAAGAGTAAGAATACCACATTGAGTAAATGGCATAATATAATAAAATTACACAATAAAAGCTGTGACAGTTCAGCTACAGCTATTATGTGTAAACATATTAAAGTAAACATAATATAAACAATAATTAAGCAAATTAGACAGGTTAGCTGCTTAGTGTTTTCGTAAGCTTTTGATGAAAATATGGTTTTCTTATGTGACTTGTCTCTATGTCACTACTGGATAATAGCTTGGCTCTGTGAGTCAAATGGTTTCTTAATGCACTCATATTTGACTTTAAGAGATCCTGAGGTTTCTGTGTTTTTTTCTTCTGTGGTCCACTCTCCTGTGGTGACCTGGGAGGACAAGCCTTCTTTGTTTTAGGTATAAAGGTGCTACTCCATTGGTTGTGAACTTTTTGTTTAGCAGAAAGCACATCGGTATAGTCTTTGCAATCAGAGACTGTTAAGGTAGCAGGGGCAGTAAAATGCCGCTCTCGGGGATAGTACTGTTTTTCTGTTTTGGACCCATATAAATCAAATCTCACTTTTTTTGGTTCAGTTCTTTTCATTTTATTCACTGACAGAATACCATGCAGCTCCAGCTTCTTTTCTGATCCGTGGGGTGGTGTGTCACTTGATTGACCAGACACTTTCTCTGTCACTTTCTGTAGGTTTTCTCTATGTTTTGTTGAGGTTCTGTCATGATTATCTCGTCTTTCTTGCCCATGTTCTTTACATTTTTTCACCTTACTGCAGTTCTGACTCTCACCACTACAGCGTTTGTTTGCAGAATCACGAGGTTGATTTTTCTTTTGTGGCCAGTTCATTTTAACTATAATATCTGGAGCGAAAAGCACAGAATCATCAGAACCAGTACTAGTGCTACCAGATTTTAGCTTATGCTTGAAAAATGCAGTTTTCTTTGAAAATGATTTTCTGCACTGCGTGAAAGATTGGGGCTTGGGTACTCTAATTTTCTCATTTTTTTGCTTATTTGGTTGAATCTTGGTTAGCTCCCGTTCAGCTGACCCCTGATTTTCAGACATTGTCTCAGTCACCGATTTTACCATACTGTCAATTTTTTGTCTCGTCAGTCCTTTATCTGCAATGCAGTCCTCTGCTGAAGTAACAGTTGGCTCCTTGACTTCTAGTTCAAGAGATGGTAGACTACAATTTGGTCTCAGTTCTGATTGTATTATACTGTCACTTTTTTGTCCTTCATCTGCAATGCATTCCGTTGTTGAAGCAACTGTTGGCTCCTTGATTTCTAGTTCAAGAGATGGTGGACAACAGCTTTCTACCAGTTCTGATTTTACCATACTGCCTCTTTTTTGTCCCATCAGTCCTTCCTCTGCTATGCATGCCTCCAGTGGAGCAACATTTGGCTTCTTGACTTTCAGTTCAAGAGATGGCAGACTACAATTGTGTCCCTGTTCTGATTTTACCAAGAACACACTCTTTTGTCCTGCCAGTCCTTCATTCGCAATGCATTCATCATTTGGTGCAACAGTTAGCTCCTTGACTTCTATTTTAAGACATGGTGGACTACAATTTTCCCCCGGGTCTGATGTTAAAAGACAACAATTTTTTTGTCCTTTCAGTCCTTCATATGCAATGCATTCCTTTGTTGAAGCCACATTTGGCTCATTGACTTCCAACTTAAGACATGGCAGACTATCATTTTGACCCAGTTCATTTGATTTAGCAGCATAGCCCAGATTGACCTCATCTGTCATTGGAGAGCATGGCTCCTCTTCTAGCTCAAACAATGGTGCCTGTTCCCAACACTGGAGGCAGAAAAGATCAGCATCACTGTCCGTCTTTGTCACATTAGTGGAATTAGATTTCACAATTTGGGTACCACAGCGAGAGCAAGTATGTGCTTTGTTGTACTCCTGGTTAAGTTGACTGGGTGCATCAAAGCATGCTACAAGATCTGGGCTCTCCAATTTGGATTGGGATTTGGTTTTGATGGTACATCCAGGATCCTTTTCAATATATTGGAAAAATGTTTTAGCATCTTCCGATGATAGCACCGTGATTCCCATAAACAAGGAATCAGCACTTGAATTTTCATCAGTAGATTCATTTTCCACCGCACATATGTCTGCGGAGTTACTAGGAGTGTCCATATTGCCTGGATTCTCATCATCAGAGATGTTTTCCACTTGCCAGGTGTTTGAGGAATTAAGAAGAACATCCTTATTTCCAGAATTTTCATCATCAGAAATATCTTCTACAAGCCAGGTGTCTGAGGTGTTAAGAGCCTCCTTGTTGCCTGTATTTTCATCATCAGAAATATCTTCTACAAGCCAGGTGTCCGAGGAGTTATTCAGAGCCTCTTTACTGCCTGTATTTTCATCATCAGAAATATCTTCTACCTGCCATGTTTCCATGGAGCTACAATGAGTCTCAGTAGAGAAAGACACAACAGAGTTTTTCACACCATCTGAAACACTGTCTCCAGGACTCAGAGAAAGTGAATCTGATACATTATCATCACGTGTTTGCTCGTGATCTTGTCTGAATACTTCTTTTGCATTGCTGAGGTCTGTAAGTCTCTCTGTAGACCTTTCAGCTAAAGGTGTGATGTCTGAAGGCTCTATGTTAAAAATGTGGTTTTGATTGATGTCCTCTTGCTTCTTGAATGTCTCTTTCTCACTTTCTTTTCTGAGCACTACATATGAATGCCCATTGTTTTCCGCAGCCACTTCCCCCCTGTCATTTCCTGCCATTTGCATGAAAAGATCTGTTGGACTGCAAGTGTCTGGATTTACACTTTTCTCCTTGGATGAAACCTCAGTCATGTCTGTGAGGGAATTCACACCTAATCTGGCTGAAGTGACAACAGTGTTATCTGAAAAGGACTGTGATGTTGCCTTGAACACAGTTATGTCATCCAACAGTGGTTCTGAAAGCACCTTTTCAATATCAGCTGGCTGTCCATCAACATTTAACCAAGAAGATCTGAACTCCTCTGACCATGAATATGTCTCATGTTTGAGAATGTTGCAATGAGCTAGCTTCTTCAGGTTTTCAGTTTCGATGCTTTTAAATACCACAGACCCATAATCCTTTGCATATTCTATGGATAATTGCAGTGCCTCTCTTAATGATTTCAAAGGCTCCAACATATTGGAAGCTTTCCCATTCCAGTAGAGTTTTAAGATCCTTTCTAAAATGCTCTGAGATTTCTCAGGATATCCGGCCGATAACTCTTTCATCTCTATAGACTTCACTAACTCCATCAGTTTCTCCAGTGTGTACTCAATCACTGGCACACTGGACACGTCAAATGAAGGACCATCTGAATCACAGTCACTTTGCTGCACATCATTTTGACATTCAACTGGGCTAGCAGAGCATGTATCTGGGTCTGCCATGTTGTTTGCAGTTGCATTTTCAAGGCTTTTGTTGTTCTGTTGAGCCATTTGTGAGGAGGATTCAGACAGCTTGTCATTTACAGTTTTTTGTTTGTTAGATTCTTCAACAAGTGACCAAACAGAATCAATCTTTAACAGTGGACTATCAGCTTTTTTTGGGCTGGTATCAGCCATTGGTGCAGCGTTTGAGATCTGCTGGTAAATAGGTGGAACGATGGCAATGGCCTTGTGAGTTTGCTGAGCAGCTTTCTGTAGTGCAAAGACCACTTCAAGACAGTCTGCTGCATCCGTACTGTACTGTATGTTGTGTTGGCTCATTCCTTTAAGTCTGTTCTCATTGCTACTTGTCTGATGGGTACCAGCTTGGGCAGATAGCACCCCAAAATTACTTATGTCTTTGGACACTATTGTTTCTTTGTTCCGACAGTCTCTCTGAAACACAGCATACTTCATTCTTTTACTGGGTGGTTCAACTGTACACTGTTCTCTTGGTTCAGAAAAAGGTTCCTTTGAGTGACTGTCAGTCCTTTTGGTTTTACAAACCTCCGACTTTTCTGGACGAGTGTTCTGATGAGTAATTCTTTCATCTGATTGCTGCTTATTTGCTTGTCCATTGTCATTTGAACACAGTAATCTATATATTATTGAGTCAGCATAAGCTGACAAGTTAAAATCAGTTATAGATTGGGGCTGAAGCTGGGCTTCACTGGTCTGTGTCATTTGAGAAGTCTGATTAGTGTTATATGTCTCACTGCTTGTGCCCTGAGACTGATGTGCAGTATTTTGATTATTCTGAGACTGGGTCGCAGATACATTTGGACCTGCATTTGACCCCAGTTCTGACCGTTTCTGGTTAACAGGACTTTGGTTCACATTATTGGAAGGTAATGAAACATTGCTCTGTGCTCCAGAAGGTGGTGTCATAGAGTTGCATGAGGTATGATTGGCCTCAGTTCTGCTCTGAGCTTGATTGTTAGGATTTTTTTGGGAGACTCCATTGTTATGGGCCCGAGAAGAGTATTGTGTGTAGCATCTTTGTTTTTTGCCTGTATATTGTCTAGAGAACTCTTGTTGTTGTTGGTGATGAAGAAGAGGAGCCATTCTAAGAGGCTGAAGTTGTTGCTGATTGTTCATGGAACGAGAGCTGCCATTGTTGGAAATGTGGGAACTCCAACCCCTGCGGTTACCCACAGAGCTGCCATGGTACATTTGAGCTTGACTACAGCCTGTGTTTCTGTAGTTCTGTGGGGAGGAATCATGCCATTGCATGAACTGGGCATGATACCTATATGCATTGGGGTTGTCAGATGGGTAGTGCTGCTGTGTGTTGGAGGCTGCAAATGGGTATTGGGGATTGATCTGGTTTGTCCGTTTCAACCGATTATATCCATCTGAATTTGGTTGAAAAGCAGAAGAGTCTGCACTGCCTGAACAAGTGCTCCACTGATTTGCAGCCTCTTGTTGTCCATTGGAATATCTTGTCTGTAATGTGGTTTGAAGTTGAGAGATGAGCTGTACCTGGAACGCATTGGGTTGATCATTCCTGACAGCATGGTACTTAGGTGGGAATTGTTCTTGGTACTGAGGTGGAGACCATTCTTGGTACTGAGGAGGAAGTCGTTCTTGGTATTGAGGTGGAGGCTGATCTTGGCATCTTGTTGAAGGATGCTGATTTGAACTCCATGTATATCCCTGCATGGTAATGGTTCCTCAGTGGCTGAGTTATGCAATAAGAGATCTAAACAAAAAACACAGAAATTAGGTTATATAACACTTGAAAATCTAAGAAATAACCTTTAAGTTAAATCAAGAAGTCACCTTCAATTCTATAGTGCTTTATACAATACAGATTGTGTCAAAACAGCTTCACAGTGATTAACAAGAAAATAACAGAATCAATTAGGGGAAACAACTAAGGATGAAGTGTCCTAGCATAATATGCAAAGATGTATATGAATATGGATGTCATTATTTTTGCGTTATGTTTCCTAAGAATTTAACACATTCTGCCCAAAGTACTAGATGTTATTTTGCTGCCATGGTTTGCAAAAATAGAGTCTGCAGCCCTGAGATATGCGATATGCTCGTTTTACAAAAACCACAACAATCCATCAGATGCAGCATTGACAGGTCACGTCAACTCAGTCACAAGGTGCATGACATTGAAATTTACATGATGTAGGGGCTTACCCTTATTTTATCGGATTAGTGCAAGGGTATAAAGAGTGTTTAGTTCTCGTAAGTGTTACACTTTCTGCTCTGTATGCTCAAGGGGCCCTTTTGTTCATTGCTTTGGTGGCAAGATACTATACTCAGACCTTATTCTAATAATTTTGTTTTTTTAATTAATCTTATTGGTAATAAATTGTATTCACCTCCCCACTGTCAATAATTATCTTTGATTTATTAAAAGTTTGATTCACATTTTACTTAAATGCATTATTCATTTGTCATTCAGTTACTCATTATTAAATAAAAGTTAGCTTTTTAACCTTCATATCTTCATCTGACTGGATCTCAATGCATCACACTAAATTACACATTCCACCTTTAACAAACATATTTTAGTCAATGTACGCAATCTCAGTAGATGTTTATTTAATGAGATGTTGGACCTAAAATTAGTGTTTACTTCATTCATCTTTAAATTTCAATTCACATTTAAATGTGATCTATAATGGGATTTTTTTCTAAGTCCTGGCTATAATGTCTCTGCAACCTTAAAAATATCACTAAAAATAAATGTCACTTAAAATGAATGACAGCCCTAGACTCATAAAAGAGAAAAAAAGTTTAATAGTACAAAGCAAAAATATTTAGGTATATTGTGTAACTTGGTGCCCCTTTCCATTGCAACTAGGCTTACTTACTACTTACACACAGCTGTTGCAACCAACCCCCCTCAAACACTGACAGCTGTTGTTCATAGGATCCCTGTATTCCTATTTATTCTGAGCTGTGACCAGTCATGACCTTTAAAGGGGTCATATGATGCGATTTCAAGTTTTCCTTTCTCTTTGGAGTGTTACAAGCTGATTGTGCATAGATAAGATCCCTGAAGTTGCAAAGACTAAAGTCTCAAAACCAAAGAGATATTCTTTATAAAAGTTAAGACTCTGCCATGCCCCCCTAAAACGGCTCGTTCTAACACGCCCCCACATATCTACATCACTATGTGGAAATATTAGCATAATGCCGCCCAAATGT